AAAAAAAAAAAAAAAAAAAAAAAAACAAAATCTCGTTGATCCTTTTCCGGTATACGTGGTCGTTTTATCGCGGCCATATTTTTTTAGTTGATAATTCTTTGTACCGTTGAGCACAGGACACGTTAGATTACACGCGATATACGCATAGATATTGCATTAGTTTCAAAAAATATCGAAGAATGCAGGATATGCTGTTGTTTCGTCGCTGTAGAAGAGAGCGAGGAAATAATAAAATTCCAAAGATGTCAGCGTTCCATACGCGTTGTAAGAACTGTATACGTATTCGAAACAGCATCCGGAGTACCTGATATGTACCTAAATATGTACCTAACGAATATATCCGTTTGTTTCAGGCCCAGTCGGACGACGATGACGTAGCGGACGATGTGCCCGTCAACGTCGGCGGGCCCGATGATTTTATGACCGAGTTTTTCGCGGAGGTAAGTATGCGAATCGTGTATATATTTGGTCTAGTCCCGGCACCGTGACCGAGAAACGAGCTGTTCTCGTTGTCACGGTTCCCTGTTGACGATCAACGTCCGATTTTTCACTCCAGTCCCATCCCCTCTTTCGTCGCTTCTTTCTTCATCTTCGTAGGTTGTTCCTCTGTAGTAAGGATTCTTCCCATCGAGTCGTCTATTTGACCGAACCAGAACAGAGGGATTCTGTAACGAAATCGACAATGATCGGGCGAAGAGTTTACCCGGAAAGCGGAAAATTTGATCGTTGTTCGGGGTACAGTGGTGATCCCTTCGACACAGAGGAGGAATTTAAACGAACGTGGCGGATGAATACGGGAGTTGTACGGGAGATGGACCAGTGAGCGACGAACGCGAGAAAATTTCTGTTCGGATGGTTTCGTCTCGATATTGGGGAATCAGGTCGAGACGACTTCCAACCGAATGGCCGTATCTCGCGTCATCTACTTCGGGGAAAATGTATCCTATATTTCCACCCTTCCCGAACGTACGTCTTTCATCGTACCGATTTCGTGGAATCGCTTGGTTGTACCGTACGTTTGTTCGATACCGGTCGTTTGGAAATCGGGAAAGCGAGTAACACGAGGAAACGAAATTCGTCGAGGCATCGCGACACATTTAAACGCTGCTGCGACGATTCGATGCAGGAAATTCCAGCGTCGAACGGTATCTTTGACATTTGCGTTCGTTGCTATTTGCGTAGGCTCGGGTTAACTTCGATCGCTCATTTCGCTACCTAATTTCTTTGTACTCTCGAGCACGTGGGAGGATGGTATTCCAAGAGAGAGAGAGAGAGAGAGAGGAGGGAGATGGCAACGAGCGTTTCGTAGTCTCTTCGCGTGTCTCGAAAATTCAATCGTTTATACCGTCTATTTTTCTTCCCGATGCTCAATTTCGCTTCCTCGGAACTCGTTGTCCGATCACGTTCCACACTTTGCCGTGCTAATGGCAGAAAATTACTATCAATCGATTCACTCGGTAATTTCCTCGGGTTTGCCTTCGTAACGCGCGGCGCCCGTGAAAACTCGCTGTTACTCGAACCGGTCCACCGATCGTCGCTTTCTTCGCTTTCTTCGCTTTCTTCGCGTAATAAACCATCCCCTGGTTTCCTTTCTCCCTCTTTTTCGATTCGCAACTGTACCGATCGGGGCGGTATTTAATGCCTTCTGACTTTTTCATAGGTGGAAGAGATTCGTGAGATGATAGATAGGATCCAGACGAACGTAGAAGATGTGAAGAAAAAGCACAGTGCCATCTTGTCGGCACCACAGACCGATGAAAGTGAGTTTCCGTGGTTTTCTCGTTTATCGCGATATTCGCAATATCTCGTGACCTATTCGGGTGTACTCGAATGATTCCGCAAGTTAAGAGCGAATATATAATTAGAGGCGCAAATGGAAGCAGCGCAGAGAAAAGAAAGGTAGATGTACGGCTAACTCGAAGAGCAATTGGAGCAACTGCGTTGGAAAAACAAATACGGGTTTCGATTATTATCTAATAGTTAGCTGGAGCGTTCATTCGAAGCATCGGATACGATCGGCCTTGCCCTCGTTACCATTGTACCTGTCGTTCGGGTTTGAATTATCATTTCGTTGCGACTTTTTGCCACTTTCTGCGACTGTAGGTGACGCGGTCAAGCGAGCACGCTACGGTATTGTCTTCTTTGCCTAAACTTTCGTGTTTCGCCGTTCCTATCATCTCGTCTTGCTTTTCTTCCTTTCCTTTTAGCTTCGTCTTCTTCATCTTCATCTTCTTCTTCTTCTTCTTCTTCTTCTTCTCTTCCTCTCCGGCAATTATCGACGATGTCGTCTGTCACGAAACACAGAATCCATGCCAGTCGATTCCTTCTTCAGATATGTCCCGGATGTGATCGTAGATACTTCCTCTCCGGCAATTATCGACGATGTCGTCTGTTACGAAACACAGAATCCATGCCAGTCGATTCCTTCTTCAGATATGTCCCGGATGTGATCGTAGATCGGTCGAGGATAGATGTAATCGGGGAAATAGGGACACGATTGCCTCTCCGCTCAAACGATTCTTTTCATTTTCAAACGCACATAGCAATCTCCAGGATATAGCTGAAATCAATGAATCGACCGATATTAATCGGTAAGTCGGTCGATACAGTTACACACAGAATTGCACGTACAGTTTTATATTTCGCGATAAGGAATCGAACCGAGATCACGGATCGAGGTATCGAGGCTCCGTAATTTTAATTAAAATCTCGATTACGTATCTCAAGATTTCCTCCTTTCGTACGTTCGGATATCCCGAGTGCGATCAATTTTACGCTTAATCCACGCTATTACCATGTCTGATTATCTTTGCGGATTAATATTATTTACAATCGCGTAATCTCCCTTTTTTCGTCCGCTCGATTGAGCCGTTTTCCGTTCATTCTTTGTCGACCAAAGGTATCGGGACTATTGTTCTACGCAAGAAATGATAACGAAGAAACGATGTAAATTTATAACCGAACTTGATGGAATATTTTACGATAGAATTTCGTCGAGTTTACGAATCTCTCGGATTTTCGTGATTTACGTATCACGTTCGCGTAACGTTCTTCCTCGGGTATTTCGTTCTTTCCTCCTTCTCTCGACTTTAAGTTGTAACCACGATTACGTGCACGAGCAATAGTATGAACGGCAAGCGCCGATCGTCGAGAAACCGTATGAACGTTCCCGAACAACTCGGTGCGATAATTGTCTGATCTTTTACGAACATAGCAGGCGATGACCCGCTACTCGTGACCGATAGGTTAACCTTATCCGCGATACGTAAGTTGGAGATGGAAGCTCCAGGCAAATAGCCAGTCCGCGAGAAAGAGGAGCTAGGATGGTAGATGTTCCCGAAGAGCGAATTCGCGCGATGTCGAAGATCGTGGAAGGAGCGAGTGGAGAGCAGTTGTTCCTGGAACGAGAAACTCTAGAGAAGGCGATCGATGCACCGCGAGCACACGCGTATTCTCATTTCTCCGACTTTGGCTGCTGACTCGGAAGCGGTCTAGCGAAAAGATCGATCGAGCTTCTTTTCTCCAATGGCGAATCTCGTTTCGAGGCGAAAGGGTTGAAAAGGATGACACGTCCTGCACCGGAATCGGCCTATCTCTTTTCGCTCGCTGGCTTCCACGTGCTTCGTTATCGCGCGAATTCGCGCTCCTTGGAAGGGAGGTAGTAGCTCCGATAGGAACTACCGGTGGTAGCCGAGCGAGATCTCGATCGATCCGGGTGCCGCGATCGAAAGGAGGAAACGCGTTGGTAGAGGACGATGTGTCGCGTGTTGCTCGCGTTACGTTGGATACGCGGATTCGTAGCGGAAGTGCGTGTTCGATCCGGAAGCAAAGCGGCGGTCGAAAACGCAAGGTGTTGCCGAGAGTGACGCCTCGGTTTCGGTTCGATATGGCTAGGTAAGTGGAAAAGGAGAGCGCGTGCAAGCTCTCGCAAGGATTGAAAGGATGGAAGAAATTTTTCTGGGACGCGAAACGCGCGCGTCATTCGATCGAATTCGAGCGTCCCGTGTCTCCCGGGCGTGCCGAGTTCTCGAGAGGCTTTAGAAGTAGGTCTGGCATGTTTCCACCCTGTATTAACCCAATTCCATCGAGCACCCTCGACGCAGGAGAATGCGCGCGCCCGCCGCCGATGGAAGCGCGTGCACGCGCCCAGACCGCCACCATAACGGGAATCCAATTCGATCCTGTGCCGTTACTCCCGAACATCGCCATCCAACTTTTTCACCTCCGCTTTCTAGTTCCATCTTTCGTGTTTCACCGATCACCGAAAATATGCAACGCCTTCTCGCAAAGTTCATCTCGATTTATTCGGATAGAAAGAAAATAGGGATGGCGTATATACTCGTTTACCTCCGTATTACTTCGATTATCGTCGTTTTTCTACGATATTTTTAGGTACACGTTACAGGTCGGTGGTTCTAGCGTTAAAAGCTAAATGAAAAATAAGTAGCCTTCGATCGAGATCGGCGCAACGCGTGTTTCACGCGCGATGATCGCGAGGCCGCGATCGGTAACGAAATACCGGTCTCGCTTTTCCCGCGCGATCGATCATTGCGATCGGTTCGTCGAACGGTGGGTAAAGCACCCAACATTTTCCTTTCTTCTCCGAGATCGTATTCGCAATCTCGATCGTTTCGTTCGCACGAAGAGAGAAATCGTAAGTATACGATCGCCGGACACGTCTCGATTAACGAATGAAATATTTCTTTTTCGCCAGAGGTCAAAATGGAATTGGAAGACCTGATGTCCGACATCAAGAAAACGGCGAATAAAGTCAGAGCTAAATTGAAGGGTAAGATTGTATCGGAGATCGATTCGCGCGGTTTCGTGGATCTCTCGCGGAGTAACGGTCCGTGTTGGAGATCCAGGAGACCGAGGTGGAATCGGGATCGATTTCGGCACACTTTCTTCTCGTTGTTCCAATCGAATGCAAATTCACGTGGTATTTTCTTTGTTGCTCAGTGATAGAGCAAAATATAGAGCAAGAAGAGCACACGAACAAATCATCGGCGGATTTGAGGATACGCAAGACACAGCACTCGACGCTGTCCAGGAAGTTCGTCGAAGTGATGACGGAGTATAATCGAACGCAAACCGATTACAGAGAACGGTGTAAGGGAAGGATACAACGACAGCTGGAAATCAGTAAGAGAGGATCATTGCTGGTATTTGTATCGTAGGCGTGTATGTACGCGGTGCACTCGAGCGCGAATCTGAAACGATCGATCTGTACTTTCAGCCGGTAGGACGACCACTAACGAGGAACTGGAGGAAATGCTGGAACAGGGAAATCCGGCGGTGTTCACGCAGGGGGTAAGCGTTTCGTTTCTTCGTTTCTGCATGGATCGAAAATATGGTGCTGTATCGAGACGGGTTTCTCGCAGATTATCATGGAAACGCAACAAGCGAAACAGACTCTCGCCGATATCGAGGCGCGTCACGCCGACATCATCAAACTAGAAAACTCGATCAGGGAACTTCACGATATGTTCATGGATATGGCGATGTTGGTAGAAAGTCAGGTAAGGACAGCGATGTATCGGGTTTATCCGATCAGCCCCATTTCACCCGCCGACTTTGCTCCGCACGATGTTCCTTTACGGTTATAATCTGCATATGTCTTTTATTTTTTTTCTTTTCCTTTTTTTTTTTTTTTTTTTTTTTTTTTTTTTTTTTTTCCCAATTTTGTTTTTTCCCCCTTTATTCTAACATTTTTCCAACAATCGTTTTCGACATTTTTCCTCTCGCGTATTACTTTTATGAACCGCTATTTCTGCACCGCTAACGTTACGTTTCTTTCCTTTAAATTGCTCGTTTATTTTCGTTCGATATGCGCGTGTCGTTTAACGCAGTTGGAGGAAAATACACACGACGGAAGTAGCCGAGAGACAGAGAAAAGGATAAATTTTGAGAGGGCGTAGCGCGAACCAGTGTAACTTCTCTTTCACGTGCGAGCAGCTCTTTCTTTGTACGTGGCCATTGGCGAAACTTTATTCGGTATACTAATGTAAGTTACAAGATGCATGAACGAATGACTAAATAAATAATAGCAATAACGATAATCGTACGTTTGTACGTTATACAATATTGATATCGGTATTAACACCGTCGATAACACGAGATCTTTCTAATTGGGATTTAATGGTAGCGTTTCGTAACCACTACTTATTGGGAAGAAAACGGGAGAACAGTTTCCTTGCTCGCGCGATATCGCTATAATTATTGTTATCATTATTATTAATATTTTTGGTTATCGTGGTCGGTATTCTTCTAGTTTCTATTCCTCTCTCTCTCTCTATCTCGCTCTTTCTTTCTCTCTGTCTCAATCGCTCAGTGCCTCCCTCTCTATCTTTTTTTTTTTATCTTTCTCTTTCTTTCCGTCTCTCTCTCTCTCTCTCTTTTTCTCTCTCTCCTTTTCTCTCCGTTTTGCCCATTCTGTGTGTAGCGGTGCATGAGGAAAATCTCGAGTTTAATCGTTACTCGGCTTTTAACCGACTAAAACTAACATCTCTCTCTCTCTCTTTCCCCGTTACGCTGTGTGGATTCGCGCCACGCACCTACTTTAGGGCGAGATGATAGATCGCATAGAATACCACGTGGAACACGCGGTGGACTACGTGCAGACGGCTACGCAGGACACCAAAAAAGCGCTCAAGTATCAAAGCAAAGCTCGACGGGTGAGTCCTCCCCAGATCACACGCGAAATCACAGATCTTTCGTTCGCGTCTAATTGGTCACTTTTTGTTTTCTCCTTTGATCCTCTACCACCACTTTTATCTCGTTCACCACCTCTCTCTCTACACCCCCGTCCGTCCCTTTCACGATCCGCTGTTATTTCGCCTCATAACCCGTCGTATTCGAGTTCCTCTTCCATCTGTACATTTTTACGCTAATACTGTCCGAAAAAATCTTTCACGCTTTTTGGTTTATATGGCTCTATTACTACTACTATTACTACTATTACTACTACTACTACTACTACTTTGTTCGTTCGTTTGCCTACTTATCATATTGTTCCCCCGTAACGCGACATCGAATAACGACGACGCTTTCTATCTTGTTTCATTACCATATTTTCTACGATCGAATCGATGCTCGGGCACATATGTATGCGCGTTCATACGTTCGATGTGCATTTATGTACGATGTATGCATTACGCGTTCCTTACCTATCTTGACTGTTTTCTATTTCTCTGTGTGTCTATGTATGTATGTATCCGCGTATACGCGCGCGCGCGAGCGCACCGCCACGCGCGTGTATATACACGAGCATCATACGTATTCATTCGTACGTACACGGCTGTGTTTGCTGTATACATGCATCATCGTATCTGTGTGTCTCTCTACTTGTGTCGCTCTGTCCTACTGAACATGAGTGTGCTAATTGTGGCTCTGTCCATCGACTGTTTTGTCTATATTACTTACACGTACTACTAAAACTCCATGTACTAATACCTGTGCTCTCTAACCGTCTAACTTTTCTCCGCGATTGGATTTTTGCGGGTGCTTTTGTCTGCGTACACGCGTCGTTTACGAACATGTACGCGGGGACAACGCGTACACGCGTTTACGCTGTCGCGCGTGAACCATCGTACGCGGATTGTCATGGGACCGCGACGGCTGTTTTTCACCGGGGTGATGGCGATGCCGGTACGCTACGACGCGTGTGGTATATGGTGTTGTACCGCGGTGTGTGGCTTCACTTATATGGTGTGTTTATCTCTCTCTCTCTTTCTACCTGTACACGCTGCTTGCGCGCATACGTACGCTCGTGGTGTGCGAAATGGAACACATCGATGCCGAAACACGAACGCGTTCGCGTACGTATACGTGTAAACGCGCAAACGCGCACGGATATCCGTGCGTAAACGTAACGATTAACTTTGGGTACATCCTTGTTTCGAGAGGCGATTCACCGGTTACCGTTGCGACTCCTTTTCCTCCCCTTCCGTTCGTTCTCGTCCCCGATGTTGTTCCCCGTTTCTTCGTGATTCCTCTCCATCCCCCGATACGGCACGGCAGGGTGAGTTGGTGGACCGTATCGAGTACAACGTCGATCAAACCGGCGACCACGTTGGCCAGGCCCGGGGGGAGCTGATCAAGGCGGAGGAGTATCAGAGCAAAGCTCGTAAGGTAAACGAATCGAATCGAAATCGATCGATCGTCGCTGGATCTCTCTCTCTCTCTCTCTCTCTCTCTCTCTCTTTTTTCAAATTCTCCATTAATCGCGTTCGTTCGCGTTCCCCGATTATCCAGCGACGATCGTCGATAGGTGTTCTTACTTCGTTGTAGGAAGGTCGAGGGGAAGAGGCCCCTAGGATTTCGTCCCGAAACAACCAGACGGCTGCAACGCGTTCATACGCGTGCTTTTCTTTCGATCCGCCACTTCTTCGTTCTCTCTCTCTCTCTCTCTCTCTCTCTCTCTCTTTTTCTCTTCCTCCCACTTTCTCCTTTTTTCCTCGATCGTTTTCGTTTCGTCTTTTCAACGACTCCTCGCACATCCGTCGCCACTGGTGGCCGAATCGGACGCTTTTACGCCACCGATTCGACGCGTTGCGAATAGTCTGACGACAGTGGCGACGGTTCGAGTCGTTCTTGATTTTCTACTTTCCTCTCTGTCGCGTTCTTCCTCTTTTGCTTTGCTTTTGTCCGATTTCCGTTCGATGTCGTGCAATGCGATCGAGCGCAAAGCTGAACCCCGGCGTAGACAAACGTGTCGGCAGCATGTGCAACGTCAAGGTACGTCATCGTACGCTTTTTTTCTCGCTTGCGAATAGTCGCAAACTTTTACTCCGATGTGAAATTTGTTGCACCAATTGGTTCGTGAAAACGGAAACGTTTCCTCCGCTTACTTCTTTTCTGTCCCCCTCGTGTTGTCTTCTCCCTTCTCTGTTAACTCGTTGCCCAACCATCGTTCAGCCACACCTTTCTGCCGTCTAACGTAAACCGATGTCCCGATCTCTGTCTGCCTGCGTGCCTGCCTGATTAACTGTTTCTACTTCCACTTTTTCTTTTTCTTCTTATTCTTCTCTGTCACTTGTTCTTTCACTTCTTACGTGTGCAAGAATCGACGCGTCTGTCGCTTATTCGCCGAGTCGTGGAAACGATGCAACGTTTTCCTATTCCTCTGGCGATTTCTGCACGTTGTTCGCGATTTCGCGGATTACGTTAGTCGTCGCCGCGGTAACGTTTCCGCGGTATGTCGCACGAATCGTATTTCTCTTTTTCTGTCCACAGAAAATGATCATCATCTTGATCTGCATCTTAATATTCACCGTGATATCAATCCCCATAGTGGTAGGAATCGTTCCGTGAAGTTAAAGGTCTCGAACGGTGCACGCTAGGGATGGGGCGAGCTATTATTACTACTATTATTATTTATTCATAAATTTCGCGGGTATAGAACCCTTTGTTGTACACGGTAAATACGTAAGTTTCGTAGAGGAGGCAAGCGTTAATTATTGCGTGGCGTGTGACGGGACGAATCGAGCGTTTAAAAGAGTAGGCAAAGGGGGCGGGTGGATGGGGGTGGGAAATGGTCAGAAAGGTTCGCACGTAAGTCGTAAAAGTAATTCGCGATTCGTGCAGTTGGATTTGTCTACAACTGGTACGCGATGGCGTAGGAACGAAGACGCGAGCACGATTTCTCGATGAAACGCGACGTAAGAGGATGGTAATTTATGGCAAAAGATAGTGATCGGGGAGTCGATGTAACACAGGATGAAAGTCGAAGAAGTCTCTGCGTGCTGGACATGTTCGATTAACGTCTGGAGGAGCGAAAAGCTAAAGGCAGCGATCGTAGCACGCGCGATGGTCGGTGAACGATTCGCGCAACGTAAATAGAGCCGATGACGATAACGAAGGAATTCGCCGGAGGATTTCGGTTTCGCGGTCCCAGAGACCATTCGAAACCGGACATGGGCGCAGGCGCCTCGTTCTTGGCAAACAGAACCAGCTTCGCTATTTTCCTCTGTGCTCCTGTTTTCCCTCGCTCTGATCTCTAACATCGGAAAACGGAACTTGTTCGTGATCCGTGACTCATTAACCATCGATAACTCATTAATCAGTTGCTCGTTCCACTAACACGTGAAACTTTCTCGATCGTACGCCGCTGTCGTCGACTCGTCGTCCTCGCGGACTCCGTGATTTGCGGAGTAAAAGGGCCAGTTGTCCTTTCGCTGTTCGATAAAGGCGAACACGCACACACGCGGACGAGTGGGCGATTGGCGCGCGTCCACGGTATTTTCAAGTTCGCGTCGCATCGTTCGCGACGATCGTGCTTGTCTGGCTTTCGATTCCCGCCGTTTTCTCCAGGGGGTCGAGAGGATCCGCGCGTTCGCGCAGACGGAACCACCTTGGGCCCGTGCTCGGACGCTCGGACGCTCGGACGAGACTTTTCTTTCGCGCCTCTTTGTTCATGGATGCGTCTCTATGCGTTCACCGAGTGACGGCAATCTTGTATTTTGTTCGCAGAAATTGATGTTCATCGTTATTTGCCTGACAATAGCGTTCATCATTCTCATAATCATTCTGGTATACTCGTTGTAAGAAGATAGATCGACGATACGAGGATTTCAGGGAAGCGGTACGAGGCGGACACGAAAGTGGACCATGAAAGAAAAGTAAAAAAAAAAATGATACACCATGTTTCTGTTGAAAAGAGGGGGGACGCACCACACCTCGTCCTTCTCCGGCCACACGTATACACAGACGCTGGCGCGCGCGCGCATACGCACACACACGATATATACACAAACGGACGCACGCGCACTCACATCGGAGGATCGCAAATTAGCAACAGTTGCGACGTTTTCGCCTCTTCTATATACATATACATATACATATACATATGTGTATATAGATGCATACGTAGGCAGATGTATGCGCGCGGCACGTTCCAAAAACGAAAACGTCCAGGCTGTTGAGTATTTGGAAATACTCGCGCGAACGAGTTCTCCTCGCGTTTGATTCGTTTATCGCGTGCGCGAATCACCCTAGCACGCACTCGTGGTCGGTCTTTTTTCTTTTTCTTTCTTTTTTTTTTTTTTTTTTTTTTTCTCCTTTTCTTTTCTTTTTCGTTACCGTGTCCAGCTTTTCTCCGTTTTCAAACCATATACCACGCCTGTGAAAAGGGAACAGCTCGGTGCAGAAGCTCGTCGGAGAAACCGGTCAACGACGAATACCAACGAACGTTCGGTTGTCCGGAACGGGACACCGACCACGCATACTCGAGAAAGGTATATACCATCTAGGCACTTTAACGCGTGCACAGCGCGGCGTAACGTGTTCTGCGATGGCATCGCGTAATCTGCGAATAAGCGCGTGTATGTACGAAACGATATTTAACGATCGACGATAACGTTTTAAAGAGAAAGTCTAGACTTTGTCGTACTCGGAACGCGCGTATCGTCCGATGCGCTGCATGGACGATACGCGATAGGAGAGGAGCGAATGCGCCGAACGCGCGAGGTTACGGTCGCGTTCCTCTCGATCTAAACGGTGGGTCTGCGAGGGAGAAATTCGGGAAGATAATGGCAGTGGCAGACGCACACGCAGAGAGGCACGCGAAAGAGCTGCGATTTAAAAGGAGGATCGAATACACGATGTATGTATGGGTTGTGTAGTACACGTAAGAGTTGGCAGAAGGGAGTCGCGATGGCAAACCAGGCGTATAGTACGTACCACCGAGAAGATCGTAGTTACGGTAGGAACGAACCGCTACGTTACGTACCGCGTTGTAATCGATCATTATGTTTTTGCCGATCCGTTGATGCCGAGCGCAGAAGAAAATCATGATCATGATCTGCCTTGCTATATTCGCCGTCGTAGTGGCCACCACCATCGGTGGATACTTTGGACTGTGAACGCCGCACTCAGGTACCGTCCATCCACTTTTATACGCGCCTGTGTCGCCATCGACGTCCGCAACGTCGAGAACGCGACCTACTCTATCCGTTTCTATCGTTCACGCCCGATTTCGCTTTTTCAGACAAGTCCAAAGAGGTTGCCGTCGTGAACGCGTGCGTGAACGTGACACGTCGGCGACGTTTGAATCCAGAGAAATCGGCCCGAAACAGTCGTCGTCGACCTCAACCGCAACTGCAACTGCAACTGCAATCGCCACCGCGCCTCTGCCAGCAGCAACAATGGCAATTCGACCGCGATTATCCCGCCTGCGATGTCGTCGACGGTAGTAGTCCTATCCGCGCGTGCCGCTCCTCCTTCCATGGATCTTCCTTCATTTTCGGCTTTTGTTACGCTTGCGCGTTTACGCGCGCGCGTTCCACTTGTCGACTACTACCGCGAGGAAGAAGAAGAAGAAGAAGAAGAAGAAGCAGAACAAGAAGAAGAAGAAGAAGAAGAAAAAGAAAGAAAAAAAGGAGAAGAGGAGAAATGGGGAAAGAAATAGAGGAAGAGGAGCAACGGAAGGAAGACGTAGTAGAAATGGAACAAGATTTAGAGCGGAAACGAGCGATAATAGGCCGATAGAACGAAGAATCGCCGTCGTCGTCGTCGTTGTTTGTTCGCGCGATCGTCGTTTGTCGCCGTAGCTCCGCCATCGTTGACCGAGTCGCCGTCCTCTTTGGTTTCCTAGTTTTTCCACGTTTATCATTTCTTGTACGCTCCCAAGAAACCAGATGCGCGGATAGTTACGTCGCTAGTCTTGCTTCGTTCCACGACCGTTGCGCGTCCCTACCTTTCGTACCGAGAAACGTAGAGCTTGAAACGGCACAGAAGCATTTTTCTCGGTAGGCTTGATTTTCGCTAGATATTACGTCATCCAACATTTTTCCTAGGCCCTTCTCCGACCGACGACCGACCGTCCTTAACACGCGATCGGTCATTTATTATCCTAAATAGTACATATATCGAGGTGACAGTGACGCAAACGCGGAAAACGATAAAAGACACGGGCGATGTATAGCGACGTAGCGACCACCACTACCATCGTCACCACCACCACCACCACCACCACCACCACCACCACTACTACTACTACTACTACTACTACTACTACTACTACT